TTTATTCAATCACCACGTTATGAGTGGTGATGTTCTCCAGTACACAACGAAAGACTGCCTGCAAGTAACGAGCTGCAGCCCACATGACCATCCATCGAAGGAGGAAGAAGTCGCACAGCTATTGATCGGAATCAGTAGCTCTTCGTGAGTCGCTGTGGACAATTTATGTCAAGCCCGTCATACTAAAGAGTATGAACAGAGAGAAATCCGCTCAAATTCCTATTAATACACAAAACACAAGCTCCTGCTGCAGTTAACAAATAAGATTTATTATATAAGACCATGTAGTCGTACGTCACCATTGCGTAGAACCCCAAAGAGGTGTCCCTTGCAGTTTTTTTTTTTTTTTTTTTCCTTACTGAGTACCAATGCTACCGACGCTAGGGAGGCAGCTCCCGCACCTGGACCCTACCTATCGACCCATCAACTCACGGACCGTGGACCAACGGCTTTACTTCCCTCTAGTTATGCCTCAGAAAATCCCGGCGGCACCGACTGGCATTGACCCCAGACTCCACCGACACCGCTAGAAATCCTTTTGCATATGCTGTAATTGTGTACGGCTTTTATTTCAAACAGCTTTCAATTAATCAAATCTGTAAACAATGAGCCGTCAAAGGAAAATAAAACTACGATCCCTTAATAATGTCATTTTTGTTTCCTATGAAAAATAAGTTTATCTGGATTACCACCATTGTTCTGGCATCAACCCCATACCATCATTGTAGGTACACAGCAAAACATTCTTAATTTTAATTGTGATGTAAACATTCATTCACACAAACGAAATGTCTCAGAACTTTGTAATGTAAACTTATATGATATGTGACGCTCCATTTATGTGCATCATATTGAACAAAAAAATACACAGCTTTTTCAAACTGTGTACATCACTATTTGCGCTTGTTTAGATTTATTCCTGTGCTGTTGCTTATATACAGTTTGCTATATTTCAGGGAAAATAATTAGAACTGATGACGATCGTTGAAATTGAAAGTTTAAATATGTACAGTACATACTAACGCGGGACTTGGAAACAAAGACAAGCTACGTTGCAAACCAAAATCCATCTGCCGCGTCTACCTGGCTTCCACTCGGAAAGTCATTAATTCAACCCCATTTGCTTGCAAAATAAATCTTAACGAATTCCTCGAGATTTACTCTCCACCTTGTTGTGTCCTACAGTTCACTTTGAAGCGCATCTTGGTTTGTTTCGAAAACGGTCTGCCTGCTAAACTACCCTGTGCGAGTAAGAGAGGGCACCCCATCACCGAACTGGTTACATCCAAAGCTTCGCAGCAAGTTCTTCTCCTCCGCCCACAAGCACCCGATTACGCGATAAATTAAATGGCGAACGCCACCGTAACCCATTAATCCTTTCGAAGGGACTTGGAGAAATGTGGCCGTGTCATGTTGCTCCCGCCCGGTTGTTAGCATTGTTGAAAGCCCCTTTCGTCGTCGCCGTCGGATGCTTCAAACTTTGAACGGCCCTTCGAACAGGTTTATTGCAGATTATAGGGAGTCGAGCATTAGCGCCGATTCTGTACACTGCGCTGCAGAAAATTCCTCAAAGACAATTTTGACCCAAGATCAAATTTATGTAAAACAGGAGTACCTACCTATTATTAAACTCACTCACTAATGAAGCTGCATTCAAAATAGCAAAGCGTTCTACCATCTCCTTATCCAGAAAAAAAATAAACCTTTTATTGAAGATTGCTGTACAAGAGCATAGCAGGTGTTCAGAGTCTTCCTTTTCTATGCCACAAACAGAATAATCAGAAACTAGTTTCGAGGAATTCCATATCAGCAATAAGCGTGAGTGGTAAGCGTAGTAGTGGTAAGCGTGATTACCTCTCACCCCAGCAGGCCTGGGTTCAATCCCAGTCGAGGCCGCCGGGATGTTCTGAGGCAGAACATCACTGATCACGCCTTCCTTCGAAAGGAAAGTAAAGAAGTTGGTCCCCGGTTCATGAGTTGATGGGTCGATAGGTAGGGTCCAGAAAACAAGATCGACGAAAAACAAATCAAGGGAAACAAAAATAGTTCTGGTTCAGAATCTTGTTTTGGATTCTCTGAAGTCTGAATTTGTGTGATCGAGTTCAAAATTCCCAAACAGGGAGCTCAACTGAATTACTTGTTTCTCAGCCTCAGTTTGGATATACTGTTCATGAGCTGATACAATTACCTGATCAGGACATTGCACCTGATTGATATTTTTTCCACATGAGACTTGAAGATAAGCTTGCTGTCTACGGTGAGACCAAGATAGATTACCTCCTTGGACCAGTAGTGGAGCCTCTCAAGCGAACCTTCACATCATCAGGCTAGGGGATTTAGAATTAGGAAATTTGATGACCTGGGGCTTCGTCGCATTGATACAAATTTTCCAGTTGTTAAAATAGTCAGCCAGAACATCCAGGCCTCGCTAAAGTTGATTGCTTGATGATGAGAGCAGTGTCATCTGCAAACAGAGACAGCTTTCCACCACCAGGAAGGGTGGGCATGTCGAAAGTGAAGATATTAAAAACAATAGGGCCTATGATGCTGCCTTGGGGCATACCAGCATTAACATGGAACGGAACCAGAGAGTGGAATTCTTCCCCCATCCGAGTGGAAAAATCCATGTTCCAGTTCCGAGCAGGAGACAACTCTACGGCAATGAGATCCTGCCTCACCGAATTACTACAAACACGGTACCACAACTACGAACTCCGTTTCACCGACGGCTCCAAAGCAGGAGGCAGGGTCGACTTTGAAGTAACTTATGGACAGACCTCACACTTCTGGAGACTTCCTGATCAATGCTCGGTCTTCTCGGCCGAGACTGCAGCCCTTCATTACGCAGCTTCCCTACCATCCTCCTCTCCGCTATGTGTACTACCCGACTCTGCTAGCGCCCTCACGGCACTGGAATCCGCCACCGCCCGCCACCCCTGGATTCAGGCCATACAAAACCACACCCCCCTGGCTTCACTTTCATGTGGATACCGGGACACTGTGGAATTTCCGGAAACATAGAAGCAGACCACCTCGCAGCCATTGGACGATGTGGCCGACTCGCCAACACTTCGATCCCCAGACAGGTTTAACGACCAGAGATTTCTGTCCCGGTTAAGAAACGGCCACAACATGGGGAGCAGCTGTGGTGGTAACCTCCGACAAAGATGCGACACCTGCAGAACAACAATGACGGTCGAGCACATACTAATAAACTGCCCTTGCTTCCACGGACCACGAGAACTCTACGGGATCCCGGGCAACATCCGAGACACCCTTCAGAACGACCCGGTAGCAGAGACACAACTGATATGTTTCGCGAAGGAGACTGGAATCTACAAGAGGGTTTAACCCATATATATTATTACAGTAGGCCCGACATTCCCTGCCGGTAGCGGGTGCCAGGTCTCTCCTGGCAGCTTCTACCGGTGGGGCTCTGCTGGGGTCCTCAAAACAAAACAAAAAATACAAAATATGACAGCAACATAGAACAGTTTGGCAAAATAAGTTCCCCCCTGGAACCGCAACCATCATTCAACTCCGCAAAATAAAAACTCTGTACCTTGTTTCCCTCTGGGATACCCCCTTCTGGGGTGTCCGGAAACGAACCAGCCCAGGGCTGAAAGTCTCCTTAATAAAGATATAAAAAGCACTACAATTGAATGTGTCAGAGGTCGTATTGTACAGCGAGACCTGAAATGATCGGCCGAAACATAATTTTTAATGATTTTCACTAAGAAAATCGGAAAATTGTACCGTTGCAGCTTGCACACCAGGGCATCATGCCAGACATTGTCGAACGCCTTCTCGACGGCCAACAATGCCATGGCTGATGTTTTGGACACAGCTCTATTCCACCTGATGATGTCCGTAACACGAAGCAGCTGGTGGACAGTGGAGTGACCTTTGCGGAAACCGAACTGTTCCTCAAGGAAAATATTGTTGGAGTCTGCGATGTCCAAAAGTCGATATAAAATTATGTTCTCAAACATCTTCGAGAGGGCGGGGAGGACTTCAGGGTGGGAGTGACTTTAGCTAGTTTCCAACAATGTGGAAAGAAGCCAAGTTCAAAGCACCTGTTAAAGATGGTGGTGAGATGAAGGTATGAGTTTTGACTCAGATGTTTCAACTCGATGTTAAAGACGTTGTCGAAGGCAGGAGTCTTAAAATTTGTTGATGTTTCAATGGCTGATATCACCTCATCCACCGTCACCCTCTGCCCTCTGAAAGGTATTGGCAGATTCTTCAAACATTCGAACAAACTCCGACACAACATTTTCAAATGGACTTACAGCCCTGTTAACCAACTGGTGTGAAGTAAGGAAATGATAACCAAGGGCCAGTCGGTGTTAGTAGGTGCCTACCATCAGCGTTGAAATGAGGGATGGGCTTAGGCTTATTTTTTAGCAGCTTGAAAAGTTTCCAAAAAGGTTTTGAAAACCCTCCAAGGCTGCTGACATGCTTGGCAAAGTTCCGGTTACGTAAGTCTTCACCCCGGGTCTTGATTATTTTGGTTAGATTGATAGCTGTTGTTTTCTTGTCACGGAGGTTAGTCCTCTGATACTGCCTCCGATAGATATCTCGTAGTCTGATTAGTTGGTTAGTAATTGGGTTAAACTCGAAGGACTTATGGTTAACCGCACTCACCGGCGTTCATCTGTTCGAGAAGGTCGTCTAAAGTATCAAGATAACTGCTCAACCATACTTTTGGACTGACTCGATGATCGTCAAATGCTGGATCGCTTCTCTACCCTCTCGCTGGAATATGTTCATAGCCAACAGAGTGTCAGAGATCCAACACATTTCTCGTGGAGGAACCTGGAACCACATCGCTGGCTTAGAGAATCCCGCTGATGTTCTATCACGGGGAATGACGCCTGATATACTGAAGGACTATCAAATGTGGTGGCACGGACCATCCTGGCTTCGGCAGGAGAAGACATCCTGGCCAACAACTGCTACAATCACTACTGAACACCTGGATCCCTCTCTTCTTTAAGAAAGAACTACTGTGTCAGCCCCTGCTCAACTAATCGAGACCTGTCCAATCATCGGTATACGATCGTCTTTGAACGATCTTCTCCAATTAGTAGTTCTCATCCGAAGATTCGTCCACAACTGCAAGAACCGTTTAGATCGTAGAGTAGGCTTCATCAGATATGAAGAGCGAGAAGAAGCGCTGCGTCAGCTGCTAGCTCTTGCCCAACAGGAAAGTTTCCCCGGAGATCTCGCCGAGCTGCAGAAGAATGGTGAAGTCAAGTCTACATCGAGGATCAACCAGCTCACTCCACGCTTTGTAAACGGGTTAATCCTGGTCGGCGGCCGGCTCGCGAATGCCAACATTTCGGCTGGCCGGAAACATCCAATTGTTCTTGACAATCAACACCCGTTGTCTGTTCTCATCGCCACTGACTATCACCGCATTGTCCATGCTGGACAACAGCTACTGACCGCCAGCATGCGGGAAAGATACTGGCCAATTGCTGCTCGCAACCTAGCACGCATGGTCATTCATCGCTGTGTGAAATGCTTTCGTGCTCGGTCGAAGCTCCACGAGCAACTCATGGCAGACTTACCATCGGAACGAGTAACTCCAGCTCCCCCTTTCTTACGAGTAGGAGTGGATTACTGTGGCCCGTTTTACATCCAGTACCCGTACAGAAAAGGAGCACCGATTAAGTGCTTCGTCGCCGTGTTTGTGTGCCTTGTAGTGAAGACTGTCCACCTGGAGGTCGTGGGAGACCTCACCAGTCAGGCCTTCATCGCTGCGTTTAGAAGATTCGTCGCACGACGTGGACGCCCAAAAATCCTTATGTGCGACAACGCAACAAATGTCATCGGGGCACGGCTTGAATTGGGTGAACTACGGAAACTGTTCAATAACCAGTAATTTGCGAAGACAGTAGCTGAAGAGACGGCGATGGACAACATCAACTTTAAATTCATCCCGGCAAAATCTCCAAATTTTGAAGACCTTTGGGAGGCCACCGTGAAGTCGTTGAAAGGACATCTGAAGCGTACCCTAGGAAACACGGTTATTTCATCTGATGAAATGGCAACTCTGGTGGCGCAAATCGAGGCCTGCCTCAACTCGAGGCCGATTACGCCACTCTCGAATGACCCAAACGACATGGAAATCCTGACTCCTGGTCACTTTCTGGTGGGAAGACCACTCACAGAAATTCCAGAACCGTCACTTGAAGACCTCAATCAGACCAGGCTTTCGAGATGGCAGCGAGTGCAGAACTTCCTTCAACACATCTGGAAGCGTTGGTCGACTCAGTACCTTTCTGATCTGCAAGCTCGAACAAAATGGAGAGAATGTTTTGTCGTCCATAGTCCAGTTCCTCCGCCGCGGCTGGAGCCGCACGTCTGAATTTCTGATGTCCACCGTGTACCTCTGCCCTTCATCTACCAGTCATCATCAACTGTCGACCAAGGATCACCCTCGAAGTCATACGAAAGTGTCAACAACTACCAAATTCCCCTTGGACATCCCTGAAACATCCGGTCTGATGTTTACTCGACGGGTTCATCGGAAGCGCAACCGCGCTAGCGGAGGCGAACGGCCTCCGCGGACCAGGGAAGTCGTTTGATCTTTGTAATTTATTGTTAAAAAATCGCCTTTCATCTTATTTAGAGAATTCCGGTCGAAGATAGCCTCATCCGAGGTCGAAGGGTCAACTAGCGATGTCGAATTGAGAAGGAATCCATGGACGATCCCCAACCATCCATCGACCACACAGGCCGTGCGAGCGATGACGAGGGCAAAGGAACGAGGAGTAGCCTTCAGCAACTGCAGTATTGATATCCATTGTTATTTATGTATACACGTTTGTTTTTATTTGCATGTTAGGAGATAGGAGATTTTTGTTTTGTATAGCTATCGATGTATAAATGTAGGTCGAAACTAGGCATTTTAAGGCGGCCGGTCATGAGTAACCCGAGTAGGTGAACAGTAGGAGATATAGTTGACCTATTCTGCCCAATGTCCCTTATCAATCTATCCCGTACCATATCGATCGCTTCACGATCAACGGTAGGGCCGAGTGTACGTAGGAAACCGAAGATAAAAACATCGCACGCACTTAGATAGATCCCTAGAATTTTATATTATTTAGTCCGCAATAAACCTTTCGCATGAACAGTAGTTTTTGGTTGAAGTACAACGTCGCGTGTTGCAATTTGTAAAATTAAGAACAAACAGTGAAATACAGTCCAACTTTACCCCGTCAAAGTACTCGCGTGTTAAGTGCTTTCTGTGCGCGTTATCCGACGACTTTGAACCCAGTGATTAAGTCCCTGATTGAACACATGGTAGAAGCTTGAAATTAATTGCATGCTAGATGGCGATGGCACCTCCACCTCCTCTAGCGCTTGTACCTCCGGTTTCAGGTGCGTGTCCGTTAGGAAACATACATCGATGTCGTGAACCCGGAAGAACTCACCAAGTTTGTAGCTTTTACTCTTGAGGGAGCAAGCATTCCAATTTAGGAAGTTTAGGTTGCTGACTTCAGGGCCCATATTTGCTGAGGAAGCACTTGCGGCACGGTTCTGGTCTTCTTTAATGCGGCATTCACGAAGGTGCACGAAAAGATTCATCGTGAGCTCGAGGATCTCTTCCGATGAGTAGAGGGAACTATCATCGGTCTGATGGTCAGAGTTGTTAGCCCAAGCACCGGACAAACCTGGAGGTGGTTGGGATGAGGCAGAAGCGGCAGCTGTCAGTCGATCTTGGACCGAGGGAGCAGGAGTCTGCTGTCGGATCTGGATGAAGACCGCACGCTTGGGACATCTCGTATCGCTGCCCAGGTGGTTGGAATCACAGTTCGTGCATTTAGGTTTAGTTTATTCTTCCTTCTTGCAGATGGTAGTATTGTGTGCCCCAGCGCATTTGCCACAACGAGCCTTTATGTGACAATTCTTCGTACCGTGCCCAAATGCCAGAAAATTCGTGCACTGGGTCTCGTCAAGATGCCGAAAGCGATACTGCTCCCACTGAATCACGATGTTGAACAGCGCGTGAATCTGCCGTAGAGCAGCCACAGTGGTGGAGTCATTTTCGAAGTGCAACAGGTACAAGTGGTCCCGGAATGCACTGGTTTCATCACGTCTCGCAATTGGAAAAATGTTGATTGGTTTCAGATGAAGGCGCTCCAATTCCGTTTTAATCTCTGCAACTGGGATATTTGGAAGACCACGAATCACCATTTTCAGTGGTTTGCTTCCAGGGACATCGTGAGTGTAGAACTCAAACCGGTTCGCCTGAAGAAATGTGCCAACAGCGTTGTAGTCCGCCAGCGTCGAGCACAAGATTTTGATCCCCGTACTGCACAGCTTGAACAGCGGATGGATTTGCTTTTTAGCCAGCTCATTCCTAAGCAATGTAAGTTCCTTCGTCGAGGTAAACAGTGGGGGCACTTTTTCCCGTCTCTCAACTGGATCTACATCTGTTTCTTCGGGGAGTCCCGAGAACGGATTACTCTGAAGCTACCTTTCCGTGTGGTTGCTGCCACCAGCTTGCTTGCGAGGCATTTTCGGGGCATCTTGAACGGATGCGGTTGCATCCAGACTCTGGCGACCCCCACCTTTATTTTGACGTAGGACTACGTCTTTGATTTCTATATGGGGGTACACTTTGTGAAAACCGAAAATGGAACATGTAACAAATTAAGAAAGATTTTGAACGTTAGTAACTCAGCTGCCCCTGGTCCAATTTCAATAATTGTATCACCAATCGATCAGAAATATGGCTACGCATCGATAACAATGCTTCCGAATGTTGATTTTTAACAAGAAACTATTGGAAAACTGGTAAATGTCCAGCATTGTCCAAGAGCGTTGAATTAACTAACAAATCCACCATGCATATGCTGCTTCCCCAGCACAGTCGTCAGAGAGTAGTAACAAAGATGAATACTAAGATGAAACTGTCGGAAGAAAAACTTTCTATTTTAGTGTCCTCTTTCACGGTCCCTTTCATCCAATGAATACCCCCCGTATTCAAGGTAATTTTGTGGTATTGCTGCCCCCTCGACAGAGATGAAATTTTGCGCTCATGTTTATCAAAACAAACACACCAAAATCAGAGGTGTCCCATTTTTTAATTACTCGATTAACAACTAATCGATTTTTTTTTGTTCGCTGTGCTGCCATTTTTCCACCAATGAGAGTGCAGCACATGTTTGAAACGATCGGTGATGATCCTTTAGAGAAGTTAATACTTATATCGGCATGATCTAACCGATTACAAATATTTTACTTTTCGGTTCGTTAATCGATTAATCGATAATTCGAATGAAAATCGGCCATCACTAGATGAATGTGAAACGTCATTTCAAATATATGGACCGTACATAAATAATGATACAATTTGAAAGGGACCGGGGCTCATCACAAATTACGTCCACACGGTAACTGAAATAAACCCGAGTGTTCACCGGTTGGTAGTAAGTAGACGAAACAAGTCGAAGTGGCATTTGCCTCCGATCCTCGGGCGCGTGCGAATAGGGAGGATAGAATTGCGTAATATTTTGCTCACTCATTGTCATATTTAGAACCACACACTCCCAACGACCACACAAAATGCTCTCCCGAGTTGTAATCTTGCAACCAAACTTGGAAACAGGAGATACACTCAAAAAATATCACATATGTAATGCATGAAATCCATGTGAATTTCACATAGCTTTCCAAAAAAAGTTGACGACAACCTTAAGAAATCGTTTGTGGACTTTGTCGTTCAGTTTTTTTCATGGAAATTTTTGTTAAATAAGCTAGAATTAAATAAGAAAGTTTTTTTTTTATACATTTTGACGTAGGATTACGTCTGTGATTTCTATATGGAGGTACACTTAGTGAAAACCGAAAATGGAACATATAACAAAATTATGAAAGAATTTGAACACTAATAACTCAACTGCCCTTGGACCAATTTCAATAATTTTATCACCAATCGATCAGATATATTTCTACGCATCTATCAGATTTAAAACGTTATCTTTTTTTTTCTAAATGTCACTATTGAAAATTGTAGGAATGTACAACTGTTGCTATGAGCACCGATTGCCTGTGAAAAGCGATTTCCCTAACACAGATTTCAAAGCTGAATTCCATCCGGTTTCACCAAACGGTGTATATTCAATCACAGCGTGGTGAGTGGTGGTGTTTTCCAGTATACAACAAAGGGCTGTCTGGAAGCAACGAGCTGCAGCCCACATAAGCATTCAAAGAAAGATGAAGAAGCCACACCGCTATTGATCGGAATCAGTAGTTCTTCGTGAGTTGCTGTGGGTCGACTATGCCAAGCTCGTCATACTAAAGAGTATAAACAGAGAGAACCCCGCTCAAATTGTTTACAAAAGCTGTTACGCCCTAATTCCAGCTCTATCTAGATATAAGACCACGTAGTTCTACGTCACCATTGCGTACAACCCCATAGGGCTGCCCCTTGGTGTTTTTTCAACGGGTGAGGGCATTCAATTGCTGCTCCACTGCCACAAGAGAGTCGAGAACTGACGACACGTTTCCAGCCAAACCGAACACTCGCGACGGATACCACGACCAATCGACCGACTTGAAACACCAAACGACTCGAGAGAGCGAGCGAAAAGAGAACCAGACTGTACAGCTTGATGATCAAGCAGATAATGATCTGATAGGGAGACTTTCGTTGTGTAGCTTAAACTGATAGTGAAAGTTAATACTGAAAGTCCATTAGTGAAAGTGATTTACTTAACGTGAATTAGTGAAAGTGAATTAGTGAAAGTGAATAAGTGAAAGTGAAAGTGACACAACAGTAGTAGAATCAAAAGGAAAAACAACGTAAAAGGTATACAATTATTCTACCAAAACGCTCATCAATCAATTTAGATGTTCCGGATGTTGATT